TGTCTCCCGCTAGAGAGGTAATAACGACAAAATAACCCGTGAATATATGTGTGAAATATTCCAACATTTGACCCAACATCAAACTTACCAAAATGTCTCCCGCTAGAGAGGTAATAACGACAAAATAACCCGTGAATATATGTGTGAAATATTCCAACATTTGACCCAACATCAAACTTACTCAAAATGTCTCCGCTAGAGAGGTAATAACGGCAAAATAACCCGTGAATATATGTGTGAAATATTCCAACATTTGACCCAACATCAAACTTACCAAAATGGACGGGTTATTTTGTCGTTATTACCTCTCTAGCGGGAGAGAATACTTGTGTGGATAATGATATGACGATTTTTGTAATCGATGTTATAAGTGTAATTAAACCAGATAATGTCAGGTTTAACCATTAAAATACATCCAGGAGGTTGTCAGACTTTTCCCCAGCAAGTTTATCAACACCTGTATTTCCAGTGCTTCTAAATTCCAACAGATATTGTGCATGAGATAAACGAATTTTACATTGAATGTTATTGCGTGTCCTGATGTTAAACAGTGGTAAAACTGGCGCTTCAAACAAACCGATGTTTCGTTCCTTCCTTTAGAACTTTTGGTGAGGCGTTACGGCCAATTTTAAAGCTTTAACATTTCTCAATTGCTCTATTGCTCTGAATTACCGGATTTTATTTGTTTGCCCACCGTTACAGGGCTGCAGGGGCACCGAACTCAACCATGATAATCCATCAGAATTATGGGTACTATCTTACACCTAGTGTTTGACGTCACTAAAACCACTTTAGTTTTCACCCAATAGAAGGCTGGGATATACGGATAACAATCAGTATGGATACGAAGTCGACCAATGAAACATTCAGAGGCATGAATGACGGTAATTGACGCCCCTCCCCTTATAATGTGAGGTGACGGCGAGGCGGAAGGCTCAGCATGGCCAAAACACTGTCGTTCCACAGTGATTTACAGTAGCCGGTGGCCGAAAGTCCCATATCAGGACTGTAGTTTTAACTTGGTTACTGCTCTAAGCAAAACACTAAACTCTGTGTCCCCGCGCGTGCCACACAAGACCAACCAATCCATTGTTCCGAACCACACTAACTCACCTGTAAGTACGATGCAGTCTTTCCGTGTCTCGGTCGACGTGGTTGAGGATCCACCCACGCGGAACACCGCCGACCTACGGTCTTCCAACAGCCGACCCTCACCATGTTCTGATCCCGGCTCAATGGCACCGATATCTACGTCCTCCGACTCCGACGAACACGGAAAGGTTTGGTTCGGCGACCGTCTTAAGACACCTCCCTCTGACCAATCACTGGAAGAGAAGGGCAAACTGTCACCCTCGGAGTCAAAAGGAAGAAAAGGTAGGAATGAATGTCCAGTATCAAATAATAAAATATGGTTAACTTTAGTTTATTATAACATGTTAATAGATGAGACATGTACTAAATAATAAAAACGAAGATAAAAACTAATGTAGCTTAACCAATACACCTTCAAGACGTAAATCTAGCTAGTTTTGTAATGTATGTTACAATGTGGAGTTAACCAGTACACCGTTAGGACGTAAATCTAGCTAGTTTTGTAATGTATGTTACACGTGGAGTTAACCAATACACCTTCAAGACGTAAATCTAGCTAGTTTTGTAATGTATGTTACATGTGGAGTTAACCAGTACACCGTCAGGACTTAACTCTAGCTAGTTTTCTAATGTATGTTATGGAGTTAACCAGTACACCTTCAAGATGTAACTCTAGCTAGTTTTGTAATGTATGTTATGGAGTTAACCAGTACACCTTCAAGACGTAAATCTAGCTAGTTTTGTAATGGATGTTACATGTGGAGTTAACCAGTACACCATCACTACGTAGCTTTGGCTAATTTTGTAATGGATGTTACACGTGGAGTTACCAGTACACCGTCAGGACATAACTCTGGCTAGTTTATTAATCTATGTTTCATGTGGAACTAACCAGTATACCGTCAGGGCATAACTCTGGCTAGTTTCGTAATGAGTGTTACATGTGGAGTTAACCAGAACACCATCACTACGTAGCTCTGGCTAGTTTTGTAATGTATGTTACACGTGGAGTTAACCAGTACACCATAACTACGTAGCTCTAGCTAGTTTTGTAATGGATGTTACACGTGGAGTTAACAAGTACACCGTCAGGACGTAACTCTAGCTAGTTTTGTAATGTATGTTACATGTGGAGTTAACCAGTACACCATCACTACGTAACTCAAGCTAGTTTTGTAATGGATGTTACATGCGGAGTTAACCAGTACACCGTAAGTACATAACTCTATCTAGTTTTGTAATGAATGCTACATGTGGAGTTTGGTGAGATATTTTGGTGTTCTAATTTCAGCTGTTTACATTTGGTTTTAGTCTTCAACAAAATAGTTACAAAAGTGCAACATGTTTCTTTCACTTTGGTACAATGACGTCATTATAACAGTTGCTCACTGTTTCGCAATAGACCAAAAACTGTCTAAAACGTTTATATAAGATTAACACTGGATCTCTCAAAGACAGAGGATCAATAATATTCTAAACCTTTATATCTGATTTACACTGTGTGGACGAATGATGAACAATATTCTAAACCTTGATTGACACTGTGTGGACGAATGATGAACAATATTCTAAACCTTGATTGACACTGTGTGGACGAATGTTGAACAATATTCTAAACCTTGATTAACACTGTGTGGACGAATGATGAACAATATTCTAAACCTTCATATCTGATTAACACTATATGGACGAATGATGAACAATATTCTAAACCTTTCATGAAGGTTTAGAATATTGTTCATCATTCGTCCACACAGTGTCAATCAGGCATGAAGGTATAGAATATTGTTCATCATTCGTCCACACAGTGACAATCAAATATGAAGGTTTAGAATATTGTTCATCATTCGTTCACACAGTGTCAATCAGATATGAAGGTTTAGAATATTGTTCATCATTCGTCCACACAGTGTCAATCAGATATTCTGATTGACACTATGTGAACGAATGATGAACAATATTCTAAACCTTCATATCTGATTGACAATGTGTGAACGAATGATGAACAATATTCTAAACCTTCATATCTGATTGACACTGTGTGAACGAATGATGAACAATATTCTAAACCTTCATATTTGATTGTCACTGTGTGGACGAATGATGAACAATATTCTAAACCTTTATGCCTGATTGACACTGTGTGAACGAATGATAAATGTCCCTGAACAGATAGATCTCCTATGAAAGTTATTGTTTCTAGTTCTGTAGCAGATCTCTAGTGAAAAGTGGAATACTGATGAATGAATACTCACAGCCTGCGTGGATTTAAAATCTGAAGCAGTGGATATCCAAACTTTTAATGTAAGTGGTAATCTGAAAATGGAAAGTTGCTGTAGAAACAGTTTATATTAAAGCAATTTTCAACATGTAAATCAGCAATTCACGTGACAACCATGGCGGATGTAAAGTCGCAGTGAAATAGCATGTATCAGAACTACGTTTTGTGTCTGTTTGTCGGTAATGTGATGGGCCCCTGGTTCCTACACTAGCATAATGCCTCCGAAAATTGATCGCTTTTGGGAAGGGTACGTAATAACCCATTTTAAAAGCAAAATATTCGTACACTCAGATCATAAAGGTAGGATACATCGAAGTAAGGGATATCCCTTGTACCCACTGGCATTAGAAAACCAAAGAATATTTAGCAATACAATAACCATAATAAAGAGACTTGCAACAAGTCTTACTCAAGTCGCAGAAACAAAGTGCAGAGCCTTGTAACAGATGAAACTCCACGAACACAAAGGTCAGTGGCAAAAGTTGTCCAACTGACCCAAACAACAGTACACAACATAATCAAGAAGGAGACTCAAGTCACAAGTTGCTTCTACCAGATCGTCGCTTATCTCAAACTGTTCCATATGAAGACATACCTGTAAAGTCGCTGAATTCAGAGTGATCGTACTGTTGAAACTGGGGCTGGGAAATCGTTGACGTCGTACATTATATGGATGATGGAAAGTCTGCAATAGTGTGCTTTGGACATGACAGCCTTTGAACGGAATCTTTTGCAATTGAAACTATGCTGCAGAGATATTGACAAGATGCAAGGTGGTCAGGTAGAACATGACAAGATGTCGTGATGCGTGACGACGTGGTGAGACTCCAAAATCGTTTTAATATAACATATAATCAGACTCTGGATTAAATGGATTCTGAAACTTAATTTACTAACGGCTCTGTCTGACAGAAATACTTCTGAGCTTAAATCCAATGTATATCTCAGTCCTCGCTTCTTCAGAAACATTCGAGTTATGTTCACGAATCACAATAGCGTGTTCTATGTATCAGGTGTTTCTGTCAACATTCGAGTTATGTTCACGGATTACAGTAGCGTGTTTGATGTATAACACTGTTTCTGTCAACATCCGAGTTATGTTCACGGATTACAGCAGCATGTTTTATGTATAACGGTGTTTCTGTCAACATTCGAGTTATGTTCACGGATCACAGTAGCATGTTTTATGTATAACGGTGTTTCTGTCAACATTTGAGTTATGTTCACGAATCACGTGTTTTATGGTGTTTCTGTCAACATCCGAGTTATGTTCACGGATTACAGTAGCGTGTTTTATGTATAAGGTGTTTCTGTCAACATCCGACTTATGTTCACGAATCACAATAGCGTGTTCTATGTACAGGTGTTTCTGTCAACATCCAAGTTATGTTCACGGATCACGTGTTTTATGGTGTTTCTGTCAGATGTATTTAAACATCACACCAATACCCCTTTAACACAACTTGTATTCTATAATCTGCAAGAATCTCTATGAAAATATAACTTCTTACTATGATCCAGCACAGTGTTGTCACTATTTATACCTGGTCTAACTTGTTAAATATAACTTCTTACTATGATCCAGCACAGTATTGTCACTATTTATACCTGGTCTAACTTGTTAAATATAACTTCTTACTATGATCCAGCACAGTGTTGTCACTATTTATACCTGGTCTAACTTGTTAAATATAACTTCTTACTATGATCCAGCACAGTGTTGTCACTATTTATACCTGGTCTTGTTTCACCAAGTGGGGAGGCGGAGTGTTAAAATCAAGCTTACAACAACGATCTGAGGGGACTTTTTTCATCAAGTGGGGAAGCGGAGTGTTAAGATCAAGCTTACAACAACGATCTGAGGGGACTTGTTTCATCAAGTGGGGAGGCGGAGTGTTAAAATCAAGCTTACAACAACGATCTGAGGGGACTTCAAGTGGGGTGGCGGAGTGTTAAAGTCAAGCTTACAATAACGAGCTGAGAGGACTTGCTTCATCAAGTTAGGAAGAGGATTAAGACTTTGGCAATATTTTCAGGTTTCAGTGTCGCCATTGTTTTCAAAATACAAGCTTACTACGCCTTTTTGGTTCATGATACCTGACATTGTGTTCCCTTGACAACGGTCTTATTTTACTACGCCTTTTTGGTTCACGATATCTGGCATTGTGTTTCCTTGACAACGGTCTTATTTTACTACGTCTTTTTGGTTCACGATATCTGACCTTGTGTTTCCTTGACAACGGTCTTATTTTACTACGTCTTTTTGGTTCATTATACCTGACATTGTGTTTCCTTGACAACGGTCTTATTTTACTACGTCTTTTTGGTTCACGATATCTGGCATTGTGTTTCCTTGACAACGGTCTTATTTTACTACGTCTTTTTGGTTCACGATATCTGGCCTTGTGTTTCCTTGACAATAGTCTTATTTTACCGTGAATTCCACAAGTCTTTGATGCGCTGAAAAGGTCGGGTGGGGGAGAGGGATTTTATAGCCTCTCGTCAAGAAATGTCGAGGTATTGAACGAGAGAGACGACAGCACGTGCCACATTCTCGTGGTAGACTGCTCATGTTACCACAGACTCATGGAATTGAACATCACTTATATTTCATGTAGCTGTTACAAGACACACACACACAGATATATATATATATATATACATGTGCATGTGTGTATTCCTTTTGATCGTGGTATTCAAGTTAAAAACGATTACAGTGTGAAGCGAGTCAACTAGCGACTGTTAGGTGTAAACACGTTAAAATCATGAGGGTTTATAACTAATAGATTTTATCAGAACACGTTCTTTCCTCATGGAGCACTCACACAATAATGATAGTCTGAAGTCACTCTATTTATACAAACATGTGTATTCAAACACTACAAGAAGTTCGGATAAGTGAGCTGTATCAGTTTTGTGAAGATTGAACTTCAAGTAGAACTCGACCATCCTCTTCGGTTCCCAAGTATTCAGGCCAAGAGTAACAAAACTATTCGTGTGATCGGAACAGAAACATTGGGTTTGGTGGGCACAGATTGTCTTAACACTTGGTACATTCAGACCTACCTACATCTGTTCCATACAGAGTGTCCTTACCGGACCTACACGGACTTACTCGTATTTTACGATGTTGGAGAGATAATGACACCGAGGTTAAGAAGGCAATTATTGTTTAAGTAATTGTTAGTCTGATCGGTTTAGTATTTCCTGGCGTCACGGAGACCTGGGATCGATTCCACTTGAAGCCGAAAGTATGAAACACCCAAACATCTTATTATTACGTTACGTACAGAGAATACATAGCGTTCAACTGTAGAGCTGCTTGTTACCAGCTACCCAAATTTCTTTAATCTTGATCTCACATCAAAAACTTACACAATTTGAAACATGTATTACTATTATACTTCTTTTACATTAAACCTCAAACTGACAGTAACTCTGGAATTATCTCGTCACAACTAAAACTGACATTAACTCTTGTCACAACCAAAACTGACAGTAACTCTGGAATTATCTCGTCACAGCTAAAACTGACATTAACTCTTGTCACAACCAAAACTAATAGTAACTCTGGAATTATCTCGTCACAACTAAAACTTACATTAACTCTTGTCACAACCAAAACTCATAGTAACTCTGAAGTTATCTTGACACAACCAAAACTGACAGTAACTCTGAAGTTATCTTGTCACAACTAAAACTGACAGTAACTCTGGAATTATCTCGTCACAACTAAAACTGACATTAACTCTTGTCACAACCAGAGCTCACAGTAACTCTGAAGTTATCTTGTCACAACCAAAACTGACAGTAACTCTGAAGTTATCTTGTCACAACTAAAACTGACAGTAACTCTGGAGTTATCTCGTCACAATCAAAACTGACAATAACTCTGGAATTATCTTGTCACAACCAAAACTGACAATAACTCTGGAATTATCTTGTCACAACCAAAACTGACAGTAACTCTGGAGTTATCTCGTCACAACCAAAACTGACAATAACTCTGAAGTTATCTCGTCACAACCAAAACTGACAATAACTCTGAAGTTATCTCGTCACAACCAAAACTGTAACTTCAGAAGTCGTCTTTTCACAACCAAAACTCATAATAAACCTGAAGTCCTGAGATGATATAGTGGAAGTATTGTTATTAAAATAAACGTTCTTTCTTTATTAGTGATACAGATATTCTTAAATGTATTTTGTAAATATTTGTTTTCCACATTCTCCTTACTTACACTTTAACTATAAGATGTTTTAGGTGTGTGTTCCATGTTCTCCTTGCTTACACTTTAACTATAAGATGTTTTAGGTGTGTGTTCCATTTTCTCCTTACTTACACTTTAACGATCAGATGTTTTAGGTGTGTGTTCCATGTTCTCCTTACTTACATTTTAACTATAAGATGTTTTAGGTGTGTGTTCCATTTTCTCCTTACTTACACTTTAACTATAAGATGTTTTAGGTGTGTGTTCCATTTTCTCCTTACTTACACTTTAACTATAAGATGTTTTAGGTGTGTGTTCCATTTTCTCCTTACTTACACTTTAACTATAAGATGTTTTAGGTGTGTGTTCCATTTTCTTCTTACTTACACTTTAACTATAAGATGTTTTAGGTGTGTGTTCCATTTTCTCCTTACTTACACTTTAACTATAAGATGTTTTAGGTGTGTGTTCCATGTTTTGTGGGTTTATGTAGTGGATTTATCGTTACGTATATTGATCGCATAAATTTAGAAACATCTTTATGATTAAGGTATTTATATCGGGATCTTTCCTACTGCTTATTATGTTAACACTAACTAGCTCTCACCCTGAACAAAATCAATGAGAAAGGTAGTCTTGGTTTTACTTCTATTATATCAGGTACGTGTATGGTTATTACATTTGTACTAAGTGACGACAGATAGCTTGACACAACCAATTAATATGTCAGATTTTCATTTCACAGATCCTACTCAAGATATCAACACCATTCGTCGCTATCGAACAGCCTTCACCCGTGAACAGTTGTCGCGATTAGAAAAGGAATTCTGCCGGGAAAACTACGTTTCGAGACCGCGTCGTTGTGAACTTGCTGCCGCGCTTAACCTTCCGGAAAGTACGATAAAGGTGAGATAACCAGTTTTAAACAAATATTTTTTATGTCTCTAGATAGTTTAAACAGTACTTTAACACATCTAAATACTTAATGTAAGGAACTAGAATCTACTTAAAGTCTCTGTACATAATCTATAAAGTTAACACATCTAGATATCTAAAGTAAGGAACTGGAATTTACTTAAAGTCTCTGTACATAATTTATAAAGTTAACACATCTTGATATCTAAAATAAGGAACTAGAATCTACTTAAAGTAAGGAACTAGAATC